TTAATATCATTTAGGTCTTATCCCCGTTGATGTCACTTTACAGGGCTTAAATGCCCAATGTTCATATATGTTTTCCTCTAAAGTACCTTTAATATGGTTTATTATAAAAAGTTAACCATTTCGCATTACTCAGAGTTACGAAAAAATGCTACATATAACTTTTAATAGAATTTGATAGATTAATAAAGGAGAAAAAAAATAAAAATGCAGAAAAACCTGCGTTACTACAGACTGTAGCGCCTAAACGAATGTGCCGATTTCAATGAAACTTCGCTAAAGTCATTATCTCCATACCCTTTAAATTTATGTACATAACATACTACAACGAAAAGAAGCTGGAAAAAAAGTTACGAGGGATGTTAAAATTAAATTCCGAATAACTCAAAAAGTATATGCTTTTTTGTCGATGTTTTAATAAACTGTTTCAAAGATATTTAAATTGCCTAAAGAATGAAAGAAATTTCATCGAAATCAAAGCACTATTAGTAGAGATATCGCTGAGATATGTTTTTTTTAAAAGTTTATGGAATTTCCTAAAAAAACAAAAACAAATTGTTAAAATCGGACAATTAAGAGAAAAGATATGGTCTCTAGTATTTTTCCCTGAAGAGGTGATGACTTGTTATCTGTAAGCTTTAAGCTTTAGCTCCGTTTAAAATGCACTTCAGAAAATTTTATAATAAGCCAGCATTGCCAGAAAATAATTTCTATTCTAAGTAGATCGGTAAGTGAAAGTTGTGTGTTGCGCGCACCAGATTTTTTACTTTTAGTTCAGACTACGAAGAGGATACGGAATGCATTTGACTTTGTAAATTTGTTGGTGTTGCTTAGGAGTTAAGTTTAAATATATTAAAATACTCCACCTCTACGTCCATAGCTCTATATTCGAGGGAGGGGGCGCTGTAAAGGTACATATATATCTCGAAAACGGCGATTCGTAAAGGACATATTGTTTTATTCATAATTAACGTTGATAAAACTTCCTTTCAGAATGTTCTTATTTGTTATATTTATCCAGCAATCGATAAATCAATAATTTCCAGAAAAAGATGGAATTTAGCCTAATTTTTACTTTCACTTTCGTATATATGAAATATATAGTAAGTGTAAGTATTGCGATCGTGAAAATTTCCGAGTCTTAGTTTTCAACTGAAATACTCGTTTTGAGGTATCCGGGGTCCAAATAACCAAGTTCCAAAAAATGGTCTGTGTGTTTGTATGTTAGCAGTCTAGCTCAAAAACTGATATTACGTATTTAGGATAAGTATATGCCTTAGATGTGATAGAAACTTTTTCCTTAAAATCGGCTAACCGGAAGTGGCACTTTATATCAACGCTGAAAAACATTTTTATAATTTTCTCTAAAACGGCTCTAACCATTTTTATTAAACTTCGTGTATCATTGTATAATGAAGTATTCTTTAATATCAGCCAGGTCCTATCCCCATTGATGTCAGTTTAGGGGGCTTAAATGCCCAATTTTCATATACGGTTTCTTCTAAAGTACCTTTAACATGGTTTATTTTAAATAATTAATCATCTCACATTATTGTTTTTTTGTATGTTTCGATGTCTAGGCGCAAAACATCCAGGTCATAAGCGCCCGATCAACTAAATAACACCAATTAATACTGTTTGGATGGTTGGTACAAAAAAAAAAAAAAAAAAAGGATTAAAAAAAAGAAATGGATTGATAAAATAAATTAATAAGGATAATAATATACATTTATAGATAATAAGATAGAATAGATAAATAAATAAACTTTAAAAAAATAGCAGTAAAATCAATAAATGAATTGAGATTAATAAACAAATGAACTTGAAATGAACAAATGAAAAAAATAAAATAAAATAAAAAAAATAAAAAAAATAGAATAAAAAAAAATAGAATAAAAATAAAATAAAATAATAATAAATCTGCAAAGGATCATTAATTATAAGCTTGTCATGTATGTTTTTTAAGTCTTTCGCTATCCAAGAACTGGATGGCTTTGGCCATTATTCTCACATTATTAAAAATTACGATATTAATAATGCTAGATATAACTTTTGAAAGAATTTGATAATTGAATAAAGGAGAAAAAATAAAAATGCTTATCCAGGTCGAAAATGAATCTCCGAAAATACCAGTCAGGAGGTAAACGTATAATACACCGTTGGAAAGCGAAGAAGTTTAGGAAAAAACAATATCCAATATAGAAAGTTGTGGGATATAAAGGAAAGTGGCGAAAACATTATAATGCCAGAAAACTAATCTTATTTAACGTAAATCACATGTTTCCAAGGAAACTAAATGAAATCTTCTTACTATATGTAAACTTTTAAATGTTTTCCTAAGATTGAAAAAAAAAGTATTTAAAAACCAGTGAATCAAGCCAATGCCATTGTTTAAAATATTATTTCATAGTATCTGTGTGGAAGAAGAAGTGAAATATAAAAACATTTCATAGATATGTTTACAACCTCAAATGTATTTACTATAGAGTATTAACTCTAGATAAGATATTATATTTTAATAATTAGGTAACCATCGGCCGTTTATTCCCAAAAATCAACAAGTAACCTTTTAGAAAATTAAATTAGTGAATAATTTGATGAATTTTTGATTTGTGAAATCCCAACATTATCCACTTACAATTGGTGAGATAACTTTTGACCATGGCAAGACAATATTGTAATTTTGTTTTAGTAAACTTTACAATGAAAAATAACACCTTAATAAGTAATAGCGTTGCCCAAATGCGAGACTAAGACGAGTCTTGGTCTTGTAAACTTTGTCTTGGTCTTGCGTAAGACTCTCGTAACAGTCTTGCAGTTACCTATTAGCTTATTATTGAGAGAGATATTACCGTAATTTTTTAGATATGAAAAACCTAATTAAGACTGAATGAAAAATTAGAAGAGTTAAATAAAAAAGTATATTGGTTACACCAATTCTTTACATAGAGTAACTAAAATTGTTAACTATTAGTGACTATTTTGCCTCAATTTTTATTCAAAAAATCGATTTTTTTACCAGTCTTGATCATGCAAAATACAAGACCAAGACCGATTTCGCGCAACACTGCTAATAGTCCTACGATCCATAATCATTTATAGGTTAAATATTCAGATATACTTTCAAACGTCTGTAGGCATATATGAGCCTTTCGCTTGACAGAAGGACTAACTCCAATTTTGACATTATTCACTATTAATTTTAGTGATGTTTCTAGTGGCTAAATTTATACCTTTATTCACAGTTCCTTATTTCAGCACTGCAATCACTTCCTCCCACTGTCACTCACTGTCTGCATAGATAACTTTTTCAATTAAAAATATCACTAAAATGACATTACTAAAAAATGTTGAAATTGGAGATAGTCATTCTGTCAACTGAAAGGCTCAGAGACTGGAGTTGTGTGGTTTATAAAAGTAGATGGAGTGACTAGATTTTTTTTTTGACATTATAAATAGACTTTTTGTAATTATAATGGTCGTAATGGTTTGTTATCTGTAAGGTTTAAGCTTTAGCTTCGTTTAAAATGCACTTCAAACATTTTATAACAGCCCAGCATTGCCAGAAAATAATTTCCATTCCAAGTAGAGCGGTAAGTGAAAGTTGTGTGTTGTCCGCACCAGATTTTTTTAAATAAAATATTTGTTTTTAACATATTTTTTGTTTCATAGGAAAAATTACTGAAAGAAAGTTTATTTAAAATTTAATTTTCTTCAAAAGTATAAATATTTTTACTAGTTTATATTCAATGGGTCAATAGTTACTATATCTGTTGTAGTAACTTGTTTACATAATTTATATTATGTGTAAAATTTTTTTTTATAAAAGTAGAGTACCTATATACCCTCTATAGGTAAATATTCAGAACTCTGGCTCGTATAGGAAACTATGAAAAAAGGAAATAACCAAAGAAAAGTTTTTCACAAACAATTTCGAACTTTAGCAAAACATTTATAACTGCCATAAATGTTGACCCATTGAAGATAAACGAGCGAAAATATATATATGCTTTTGAAGAAAATTAAGTTGTTTACAATTTTATTTCAATATCAAAACTGAACGAAGTAGGAATGCTATTGTATAACATTTTTACTTTGCTATATTTATTTATTTTCCTCATATATTTTAGCTAACTAATTTTTGGGAATGTATTACAATGATTGATTTTTTTTTTTTGTGGTATGGTAATGTTTAACTTATATAATGTAACTAATACAATAAGAAACTTTATTTATTTATTTTTTTTTTGTCTATCAAAAATATATTTGCGCCTGTCAACTTATTGTGGACAATCAGCAAATGTCAAGGTTAACTTACAATAATTTTAATACATTTATTATATCAACGTGGGGAATGTTAAGTTGTTTTGGATTTTTCTATAATCTATTGTAATTTATGTTTCGTTGTATACATGGCTACCAATGTTTTTCTATTGTATGTATTTTTCCCATATCTATTTGTTATTTTCTTGATATTTCTTTCAAATTTTCAAACATTGAATGAGACAGTTTGATAACCTGAGAATGAGTTTATTAATTAAAATTTTGATATTTATAAGTTTTTATTTTGCTAATTATATTGTTTTTCAAGACGTCTATAGTAGAAAACGTAGGAAAAAATGCCAAATGAAACATCAAATTCAAATTATAAATTATTAATTCTTCTATGATAAAATAATGTTTCAGAAAAATTGAATAGTCGTTGGAAACGGGTTAAGAATACCTTGGAAGCGTTCCTCATCAAATATTCAATTCTTCTGCCATGTCAAATGTTTTCCCCCACATTGAATATGAATTTACCTTTAAGGAAACGACAATTAATTAAATGCTTATTAACTACTTCCATCCCATTTCTTATGAATTATTACCATTCTCATTCTATAGGGTAATTGGAACATTAATAAGATAGCACTTTCATTAAGGGTAGTTTTTATAAAGAAAATAATATGACGAGCACATCACTAGGGAAGTGAGAGCCGAAGAGGATGGGCTACCAGGCAGTGATGGAGGACTCGGATGTCATCGATGGACTCAACATCAGGTTCCTCAAACTCTTCGGAATGTGGAAAGCTGTCAACGAATACAGGAATACTGGGAAAAGGAACCTCATCATAAAAATATATATTTTTGGATCATTCCTCCTCACTGTACCAGCTGCTATATTTCAAACACAAAGCGTATTCACGATAGAATTCGACATACAGAAGGCAACCTTCATGTACATGCACACTCTGCCAGCTATTTCCTTGTGTTGTAGGATTATCGTGTTTTGGTTTCGAATGGACAGCCAGTGCAAGCTCTATGACCTCATGAGGAGCGACTTCTTCAACGTTCCAGAACGCCTGAGAGCTAGAGTAAGAGAAGTGTACAAGGATACCAACAGATTATCTAACTTCTGCTGTTTGGTCCCTTTTATCTGGAATACAGGGATCGAAATCTGGTTCATCGCTTTTCCAGGAGTATCTGTCGAGTACATACAACACCGCACGGGCAGTATGTCTGCGGTAACAACCGGCAAATGGAAGATATTGAGTGGTTGGTATCCATTTCACGTGGAAGATTATCCATACTACCAAATCGTGTTTGTATACGAATCTCTATGTCTGCTATGGGCCGCAAATGTCATGGCTATGTATTTTTCTTTATTTTATCAAATATTAATGTGCCTCTATGCTCAGTTCGTTGTACTTGGCTTCCGTCTATCGAATTTGAAAGTTGATTTTATTGATAGTAACACGAGAAGTTTCAAAACATCAGATGAAAACGAGACTAATTCAAGAATTAATAAGGAATTGAATGAAATCTTAAGAGACCATCAAAAACTTTTAAGGTATAATTTTGAATAAAATAATTAAATTAAACAATGAATTAAACTTTGTTGTGACTGCAATGCGTAATACAATAACTTTTTGTGTACATTGTCGTCTTAAAAAATTATTGCATGGGACAATTCTTCCTGTTACTATATTTTTTTTTAATTCATTTTGTTTAAAAATATGAATTTCATTCAGTTCAGTCATTTTTTTTTAACCAGATGATTTTCATGTTTACAATAAAAAGAAAAAAAAAGGAAAAGAAATGTCACTGGTGGTAATAAATTAACTGTACCTGTAAATGTTAATGAATTTATTATCACTGCGATAAATTTATTTTTTAAAACAAATTTACCATTGTAATGGTAATAAAAAAAAAATATTTTAACATTATTCACAAAGTAGTACTAGACTATTTTAATAGTACTATAATATCTTAGTAGTATATAATTAGTATTATATAATATAATATTTAGGTATGATACAATCAGTAGTACCATAATATTTTATATAGATAATTCTTTCATGATTTGATCGTTCTATACAGGTTGCATGTCAAATTTGGGAAAATGGAGGAAGAGTAATTATTTATTATAATACCATTTTAAAGCAATGAGAAAAAGCGATCCGAAATAGAAATATTTTATTTTATTTATTCATAATATTTACAACTATATTAAAAAATTAAATACATCAAGTAAATTTGATAACAGAAAATAATAACATGAAATGACTTGTTGAGAAACTACCCACTGGTAGCACTCTAATATAGAAATATCACCGTAAAAACAACGCTTAGTTTGTAGTTTATTCAAGGGTTCCAAAAAAACCCTTACAGCATGTATTTAGTTAAGAAATGAAGGTATTTAGTTAAAGGTAGGTTAAATAAAAGGTACATTCAGAGATATTTTCTTTCCACAGATACGCAGAAAAACTAAGAAGCATTTATAATCCGTTGGTTACAATGACGCTCGGAATTGGAATTCTCATTTTAATTATAGGTGCTGCACAGCTTCTACTTGTGAGTTAATATTTTTACGAAATTTGATTTTTTTTATTTTACAATAAATAACAGTTTCTGATTTATATTGTCTTTTGAACAGGGAAAAACGAGTGATCCTAGTTTTTTATTTCAACTCTTCCAAATATTTTCTTTTCAATTCATTGAAATGTCTTTGTTCTGCTTTGGTTCATCACTTATTGAGACTGCGGTAAGTACTAATATATATATATTAGTTACGGTGTAGTTCTTTATAATGAATTTTTTTTTCAATAAAAATAATGATCGTAAGTAATAAATTAAATGTACCTATATATTCTAGATAGTAGGAACCTATTAACATCGGTTTCTTTTAATGAACTTTTCATTTTTATTTGAATAAATAGTCTGGATATCTAATATAATTTCTATATATCGAACTAACAGTTTCATTTTAAAATAATATATAAAATTAAGATAAATACCATCAAATAGGTACACAGTATACCTCTATAACAATAAATTTGTTTTACTCCTTTACAGTGCGAAGAATATTTGGAAAAAGTATTGCTTGAAAAGAGACTGATAGGGTACATGGGAGTGAGGTTCACTGAAACTCCTTTCTAACTAAGATTTAGTTTAATCAAAGTTGAATGAATAAAACAAAAAAATCGATAAAATGATTTGGCGTTGCCACAAGTATCGTATCAAAACTTACACAAACTGTAATACATTCATAAAACATTTTGGATGTTTTGAATAAATACGGTTAACGATTGAATTCCTTAAAGTGAAATGAAATGCGTGTATTATCCTAAGAATTAATTGTAATAATTATTAGTAATAACCCAAAATAAAAAAAAATAATTGTTTTTATCATGGCAAGCACTAGGATAAATAAGATAAAATCCAGGATTTAATTTTGGGCAGAACTTCAGCCCGAAAGATTTTTTTCATAAAAATAACGACAATTAATTTGGAAAAGAAAGAAACTACCTACCTATATGAAATGGTGTTTAACTGATTCCTAAAGTCCTTTTAAATGTAATTACACTCTGAGAGATAATTTTTTAATTTTTTTTTTTTTTTTTTATAAAACTTGGTTATATTTTACTATTTTTTTTTTGGGGGGGGGGGTCTTCAGCCCCAAAGCTCTCTCCCGTAGATCCACCCGTGATAGCAAGGAAGATGAATTGCTTTATATACATCAGGGGAAAACCCCGTATAGCCTTAACGGCGAGGAAGGGTTGGACCCAAAAAATAAAAAATAAAAATAAATATATATATATATATATATATATATATATATATATATATATATATATATATATATATATATATATATATATATATATATTAAAGATAGAGATCATATAATTAAAATATTCCAAGATAAAAGATTTCTTTAAAATACTTTTTAGTGATTATTTTTTATTTATTAGTGATTAAGAAACAAAAAATTAATAACTGTCCGGAGTTCTTCCAAAGGTCTTTAGGAGCTTAGAGCTTAGAGAAAAGTGCATATTTATATTTAAAAAGAAATATATATTTTTTTCCTTTGCTTTGTACGGATTTATAGTTTATTACGAATCAACGGGTTTATTTTGCTATGTATAAAATAAGAAAAACGTATTGCCGATAGTATCAATATATTAGAGTTATACACCAGTCTACATATTATTTCTTTATATAGATCTTTTTTCTTTTCTCAGGTGAGATGGATTTTGACGAATGATTAAACAATAGAAAGGTGTTATGTAAAATTGGCAAATCGTCATATTTATTCTTAAATTCATACTACAGTTTTAATAAAAATTGTTAGTAAGGTAAGGAATAGTCAAAATTTCGACATTGATAAGCCGACGGACAGTGTAGTTGCTTAAATTTTGTCTTTGAGATATCGACACGGACTTCAAGCATCGGTAACGATCCTGCGTTATGAAGATCTGAAATATACAACCTTTGAGATATACAGCAATTCTGGTTTGTTTGTTTGTTTAGATGTCTAGGCGTAAAACATCCAAGTCATCAGCGCCCGATAAACTAAATAATACTACTCTTATACTGTTTAGGTGGTTGGTACAAAAAATATAAAAATAATAAAAAAGATAAAAATAAAAAATTTATAGAATAAAATAAATAAATAAAGATACTAATAGAGACTTATAGATAATAACATGAACTATATTAATAAATAAACTAAAAAATCTTAATAAAATCATCAATTAATTGTAATTAGTAAATAAATGAATTTTTAAAATTAATAAATAAATGAACTTTTAAAATTAAAAAAAATAAAATAATTCTGCAAAGGATTATTAGTTACGAACTTTTATAAGTCTTTCATTGTCTAGGAACTTGATAATTTTAGTAGTGATTTCTTCTTGATTTCCCATGGATGCTCATATATTCTGGGGTATTCCGAGATCTTTTCACTTTGCGGTGTAAAAAGGGCACTCTTCCAAAACATGTTTTATAGTTAGTGACTGGTCATACTTTTGACATCTGGAGGTAAGATCTTTTTTTATGATGTGGAGGTGTCTCAGTTTAGTATGTCCGATCCTCAGCCGCATGAGTATGACCTCTTCTCTACGACCATTGTTGCACCTCTTTCTTTATTGTCTTTAATTTGCCAGGTGCGCTGTTGTCTCACCTTCTATGTCATCCCTTGGATATGGTTTCCCTTAGAGGTCGTGCAAGTTCAGTTGGTGTCAAAAAAGCTATGACCAGTTCAAATGTGGCGTTGGTCCAATTCCATGAAGCATTTTTGTAATATTTAGAATGCAGTTATTCATGGCTTTCTGAGTTCTTAGGGAATCCGATACCGCCACCACAACCGCTTTCTTGGTACACGATTGCCATGGAATGAATACCGCATGTAGTTTATATTTTTAAAACTTAAATTGTTAATTTTTCTCAATACAATATTTTATTTGAGTCTTATTTTTAGAATAACCCAGTGCCTTAAAAAACCTATGTAACCTCAGACTCTACTTAGACAAAAAATTTACTTGTAACGTAAATAAGAATTTAAAAAGTCAAAAAACGAAGACAATATAACAAACTTTCACATCTTCCCTACTACAGAAGACTACAGGTCCACTTCGGGGTTTGGCAATACAAAAAAAAAAAATACAAAAAACACAATCTAAATTCTAAAGCACCTAGCAATAATTAATTCAAATAATTAATTAAAGCAGTCAGCAGGTTTCTTTGTCATAAACGTAAATATTAGGGCCAGAAACATTTAGCTAGTCACTTATAAACACGAATCAATATCTAAAATAGAAATTTCGGTAAAAAGTACAGTTTTATTATTGCTTTAGATGATAACTATTCGAAAAACCATTATTTTAAAAACAAATTAAAAATGTATTTAAGCATACATTTATACTTATTATAATACATCTCAGGTCATGGAAAAAATACTTAAAGCTTTGCAATAATAGTAAGTGGTTACTTTTAGGTGACAGGATATCGAATCAAATTTTTTTTCAACACAACTTAAGTTGAATCAAATTTTTCCCTAATAAACCTTAACTTAATTAATATGAAAATAAAGCTTATTTAACGGGGAAGTTTTCCTTAAAGTAGGGTAAGTTAGTACAATTAGAGAGTAATAAAATAATTTATTACTCATACAGTCATATCCCATACAAGAAAATAAAAAGAAACATCCTACCCCAATGTAATGTAACTTACGATATACAAGGTTACTGGACTAAGTGGTCTGTAAAGTAATAAGACTTTACTATCGTTAAATAATAATAACCCAGAATCACTGTGACTTAATGGGTTGGCCCTGAGGTTCAGGGTCCTGAAGTTTATAGATCATTACACTTCTCAATCGCTCTTATCAAAGTTGTAATACGTATTTAAGGACGGATGTATTGATCTCTTCTCAATAGAATTTCCTTTCTTTTGACACCTTGTTTCTCAGAATCCATCGCTCCTAAGAGCATGAAAAGGTTTTTCTCCTCTGATATGTGATAAGATAAGATAAAATTCTATACCTATAGCAGATGGAAATTCAACAAAAAACATTTTTATTATATCCTTATGCACAAAACACTTTCAATTATTACCGGTATAATTACTCATGTATTATTTTTTTTTCTACCAAGACAATCTCATCCTCTGCAAATATTTTCCATTTTATTTCACCCTTTTTATATTTGTTTTCATAAACTCCTACAGTATCCTTTAAGAATACTCCTCTTATCCCTGTAGAACAGAACATCAGATGCCTAGAACACCACCTGAACAAACGTTTGGCTTTGAATCGTTATAAACTACAAGAAAACGTTCGAAGTTTCCCAATACTCCAGCACTTACACGACAATTCCCACGTAATTACAAAAGACTCATATCTATGACTATAATAAGGCTTGAATTTACGGAATTGAGCTTCCACAGAATCCTTGCAATCCAAAATCCTTCGTAAAGTCTTCAATGTTCCTAATTTTGTCAGAAATGAAATAATCCTAACGACCTTAATGTACCATATGTTTCCGATTTGGCCCAATCCAGATCCTTCCATAATAAACTTCAGAGCAATCCGAAACTTGCTTCCTCTTAATAATAACCCTCCAAGGCGTTTGAAAAGTAGATGGTCTCGTGATCTCCTTATGGAGACATTTTATTAGTGACATATTATGTGCTACCAGTGGGTAGTTTCTTAACAAGCGTTTTCATGTTATTATATTCCTGTGTACACATTTACTAGACGAATTTATGTTTTAAACTTATCTTTTTCGAAATAGAGCACGGACCTCCACTTCGCGGTGTACTGCAGCGACTGGTACCGAGCTGATGTGAAGTTGAGGAAGGCCATCCAAATGATGATGGTGAGGGCTAGGAAGAGTACTAACCTAACTGCAATCGCTATGTACCCAATCAACATGGAAACCCTGGGCTCAGTGAGTATGATAAAGAGAGGGAAATTTTCATTTCCTTTGACTGCATTTTTAGTTCTGGTGGCGGATCCTTGAATATGGATTTGGTATCAGAAAATTTAGTCTTTGGTCGACGTTTTTTTTAATTTATACACAGTGAATCAGTATTAATTTAGTAGATAATTCATGAAAAACTTTAAAAAATCTGTCAGCGTTTATTGCAGAAGTAATAGACACCCAGGTTTTTGGGTTAACAGATTTTTTTGTATATAACTAAGAAACAGAAATAAATTTTGCACAACTAAGGAATGGCAAATTACATATGAATTAATACAAATTTCGGACGTCTCCTCCTATGGAAAAGTGATGAGAAAACATTCCTGAAATAAACACTCAGCCTTGCTCCATTAAAGAATTCATTGCCGATTGGCTGTTGTGACGGGATATATTTTGATGTTCAGGCTCTTTATTGTTCTAGCTGACAAACCTACCCATATTTGCTCCCTCTAGGATGATTTAATATTCATCTGGAATATTTTTAGATGAAAAAAGGAAGTGGGTGGAATTTTCCGCCTGTCAGTGTATGTATATATATATATATATATATATATATATATATATATATATATATATATATATATATATATATATATATATATAAGATAAAGACCGGAGACTGGCGATATCAGCCTTAATACCATCTTGTAATGTAAATAAACATAGCAATTGTATATAAGGCAGATTATTGGACGAATAAAGCAGTGTTTATTCAGAAGTCGTGAGTATTGTTTCTCGTTCCTCTTTCCTTCTTTTTTTTTATTTTTCAAGCCCGGAGACGCTTAACTGGTGCCGAAACCCGGGAGAACGTCAGGAGAACACGGAAGTAAAATTTTTTTTTCTGTCTTTATTTTAATTTTTTTTTCTCTTCTCCTAGTCATAAGGAAAAGACGAGATGCCGACAGAGGGCATAATTCGACCAGGAGTGTTGAACGCACCTGAAATGCCGCAACCTCAGGAAATGCCGATAGCGCAGATTCCTCAGATCGCCCCTCAGGTTCCGCAGATTCCGCAGATACCTCAGATACCGCAAGTACCGCAGATACAAGAGATCCCTCCCTTACCTAGGGACACATTGGCAGAGGCGCATGCCAATGCATTGGAGTGGATGAAGATAAGGGCAGCAACAACGCAGGATCTACGGAGAGCAATCGCAGACCTGGAGCGATTCGGGGGCGAGATAGGTGAACTTAATCACTTCCTGAAAGGCGGAGACCGCCTCATATCAAGAATCGAAGCAAAGGTGGCGGAGGACCTCGTGAACTTGGGAGACGCAGAAGCACTGAAGGCAGCTCTCGTGTGCCGAGTGAGGAGGAACATCCTCAACCAAATCCAAGCGGACGAGGAGACACCATGGCCAGTGATTAAGGAGCGTTTGAAGAAGGCTTTCGGAGGGGGCCGATGGACGCCGGAAGAAGATATCTTCCAAATGTTTAGGGAGTGTCGGTCCCAACGCCAAACAAGAGGACAGTATGCGGGGGTACTAGTGGCGAAGTACAACCGCATAACTGAGAAAATGCGTGAAACCATGAGTGTGGGAGAGGTCGAGGCTAGGATGGAATTCCTTTCGACAATACTCAAGGTTCAGTTAGCTAAGGAGACTGGGAGAAGGGACGGACTGCCTAGAGAGCGATCGTTCCTCGAGTGTGCCCAAGAAATGATAGATCTGAGTGCAAGAGAGGAAGAGACGCGGATGGAAGTAGAAGAACCAGGGTGGACCCGAGTGAGTGACAGACGACCCCGGACAGCCCAGATAGGGTGGAGGAAGAGGGAAATGAAACACCCGAACGGAGAAAAAGCCACGACGGGCGAGAGAAGATCCGGACAGTCCAGGCCTAGGAATGGACCCCGGAGGGAAGACCGAAAATGTCACGGGTGCGGGAAACCGGGACATTTGGTAGCACAATGTCCGCGCACTAGATGTTTCGAGTGCGGGACTGAAGGGCATATTGCCAGACAGTGCCCGTACATGTTTCGCAGGAGGGAGAGACCTCTAGACGAGCCAATGGAGGTGAACGCTCAAAAGTTGAAAAAACGAGCTAGGATGCAGCAGAGAGACGGATCTTCGGAAGAGGCAACCGAGGAGTCGGGGACGTCGGGAACGGAGTCTGACGAGCCAGCCAGCAGTGGAGGCGAAGGAGGCAGGAGCAGCCAACGGAGCGAGCAACGACGAGCGACGGCGGTAAGGAGGAAGCGAGGTGGCATCTGAGAAGGGTGTCAGCAGAGAGGCGACCGCACAGCAACCTGCAACAATATTAGAGGTAAGCCATGCTGGTTGCCGATTATTGAAGTAGATGGGGGAGTGAAGTGTCTCGTGGACACAGGGAGCTCGAGTACTATCTTGACTCGGGGGGCGTTGGGGAGAGTGTGCGGGAGCGAGAGGGTACTCCGGATACAAAACTGTGGCTGCCAGCTAATCACTCTGGGTGGTCCCTGTAAAGTAGAAGGGGAAGCGTCAATTACGCTTGACCGGTGGGCAGGGAAGAAGGGGGAGCTAAGGGTGCATGTGGTAGAGAGCATGGCGCGGGAGTACCAAGTCATAATAGGGTGTGATCTGTTAGGACAGGTAGGGGTAAGCATTAGAAACCGTAGAGGAGCTTGGAGTATCAGGCTGGGAAAGAGGAAATTTGGATGTATAGGGGTCGCGAGAGAAAGAAGGGTGCGGATAGGAGCGGTGAACAGGGTGGAGGACTGGAGAAAGGCGTTACAAGCGGAGTTCGTAGATATTTTCTTCAGGGAGGGCGAGGTATTGGGGGTAACAGGGAAGACGGTACACGAAGTTCCACTGAAGCAAGATAGGGTGACCTACGTAAAGGAAAGGAGATACCCGCAGGCGATGAGGCAGCATATTCGGGAGGAATTGGAAAGCCTGAAAGAGCAAGGGATCATAGTCGATAGCACCTCGCCATTCAATAGTCCCCTGTGGGCAGTGAAAAAGAAGGCAGCGCCAGGGGATAATAAGGAAAAATACAGAGTGGTAGTGGACTATCGTAGGTTGAACGACAACACGGTAGACGAAAAGTACCCGATCCCTAGATTCGAAGATATACTTGATAGGTTGAGTGGGGCCGTGGTGTTTAGCACGTTGGACCTCAAGGCGGGATACCACCAAATACGGATGCACCCGAAGGACCAACATAAGACGGCGTTTACATTCGAAAGGGGGCATTACGAATTCACCAGAATGCCGTTTGGTCTGAAGAATGCGCCCATAACGTTTCAACGCCTGATGGACGAATTTCTGAGGGGGATCGACGACTCCGTATGTCAAGTATATATGGACGACCTGCTGATTTTTAGCAGAACGGAAGCCGAACACGTGGGGCATTTGAGGTCGGTATTCGAAAGGCTGCGACAATTCGGGCTGAAACTGTCAAGTGAGAAGTCCCTGTTGGGACAAACGCGAATCAATTTTTTAGGCCACACTATTTCTAGCGAGGGGGTCAGACCGGATGCGGCAAAGGTGGAGGCTATCACACGAATGGCGGTGCCACGGGACGTTAAAGGGATTCGTAGGCTTCTCGGGACGCTGAATTATTATAGAAGATTCGTACCTGAGATGGCAGAATACTTGGTACCTATCAATAACTTGCTGAAGAAAGGCGCGAGGATCGTGGTGACACCGGAAATGGAAAATAATATTCGGAAATGCATGGATAGGTTGCAGGCAGAACCCGTATTGGCGTTCCCGGATTTTGAGAAGCAGTTCAACGTCACCACCGATGCGAGCGAATACGCGTTGGGGGCCGTTTTATCTCAGGGCAGAAGTGAGGGTGAACGTCCGATAGCATACGCGAGCCGACGACTTACGAGCGCGGAATCACGGTACAGCGCGTTAGAGAGGGAGCTACTCGCGATAGTGTGGGCCATCGACCATTTCAGGCCGTATATATTTGGGAGGAAGTTTCGAGTCCACACCGATCACAAACCCCTTCAGTGGGTAGGAAAACTTAAGGAAACCTCTGCGAGGGTCACGAGATGGAAAGAATTCCTTAGTCAGTACAACATGGAGGTGGTGTATAAGCCGGGAAAGGAAAACGTGGTGGCAGACTGGCTCTCTAGGGCCATCATGATCAACGCGGTAGAAGAGGACGGAGGAGGTCCATCGCGGGACGTGCGCCAATTCTTGAGGGAATGGACTCCTGAGGGTGAAGGGGCAGATGATACCGTCAGTATAGAGGACAGGGAGGGGTCCCCGGAAGAAGATAGCTCAGCGGAGGAAAGACCAGAGGCGATGGAGGAAATAGACGAAATCATCAACGACAAGCATAGACAGGTAATCTGGAAAACCAGGACAACAGGGATCATGAAAATAGATTACCGAAGGTACGGGAAAAGTAGGATTCGCGTCATTTGGTCGCAACCCGGGGTGAGCGAGGAGCAAATCCGTACGGCACTGAAGGACGCCACGGAGCCAGGAAAGACACACCATCTCTATGTTGGGAACAACACGGTATGGGAGAAAATAAAGCGGATGTGGAGATCCGAGCGGATAGGCATGGATAGAACGATCATCCGGTGCAAGTATGCAGTGGAAACCGTACAGGATGAGGAGCAGCAACAAGCAATTACATTGGCATACCACCAGGGGAAGACCAACCACCGAGGCGTCAACGAGACGTTGCAGGCATTACGGCGAAAGTATTTCTGGTGGGGAATGAAAAAATCTATCCAAGGAATCATCGGGAAATGCGAGGTATGTATGCGCACAAAGTATGATCGACACCCCCCAGAGGAGTTCAGGAAGAGACACCTACAGGGAATATGCCGCTACAAGACCTCCAGATCGATACATTCACCTGGAAAGGGTTCAAGTGGGTCACGGTCATCGACACCTTTAGTAAAGTAGCTATGGCACATCAGGTCATGGACAAGTCTGCCAATGCAGTTGCGGAAGCCCTACAAATCTGGATACAGTTTTACGGAGTTCCCGAGAGGATCACATCAGACGGTGGTAGAGAATTCGACAATACCGCGATTAGGGAGGAGGTGAAAAGGTTAGAGGTTGTGTGGCATTATAACACACCGGGACACCCTAAGAGTAGAGGAGGAATCGAACGCTTGCACAGCACGTTGAGTGACCACATCCGTGTATATCAGGGAGAGAAAGGGTTGGAGCCGGATGTTGCGATGAAGAAAGCCGTAACAGCTTACAACCATTCGATCCACTCCGTAACGGGATTTTCACCTGTGGAAATACTATTCGGGATGCGCAGGCCAAGGAGAGATTGGGGGGAAACAACGACCAATGAACATCTCGTAGAGCAAATCCAGAATACTAGGGTAGAGGTAGGAAAGACGTGGGGGAAGGTAGCGGGGAGAATTCAGCGGGAAAAGGAGAAGCGGGTAGCGCGGCAGAATGTGCAGGTACGTGACCGAATGGGAGAATTAAAAATCGGAACAATAGTGTATCGCAGAATTGGAACCAACAGAGGGAAACAATTGTTACGGTACGAGGGCCCATTCAGAGTGATTGCTATTAGGGAGCATAATCTGGTAACCATTGAAAGCATTAACGAACCTAAGAAGAGGAGAACTGTTCATATTGAACAATTGAAGCTCCCAATGTTAGAACCGGTACAGAAACCAATTGATTCGTAGTACCCTTATCGCGTATTATAAAAAAATATGTTTTTTTTTATTATTATTACTGTTGATGATGTCATTTTTTTTTATTATTTTTGTTGTTCTTGTAAATAAAGATATGGCAGCATAATAGAGGTGATTGTAATTTTTATAGGATTAAGAGCTCTGTTCCATTGTTAATAAGACGTTGTGTGTTTACTTTCTGTGGTTTATTTCTTTTTATTTATTTCTCGTTCCAGCGGAGTGGAACTGAGGTTTGGTGTACTTTAAGTTTATACTGGTACAAATAATTGTAAAGGGTTAAGGCTGATACCGGTGGCTCCGATCTGGGAATTTATAAGTTTCCGAAAATCCTATTCGTAAACTGGTGGGGGGGAGATAAAGACCGGAGACTGGCGATATCAGCCTTAATACCATCTTGTAATGTAAATAAACATAGCAATTGTATATAAGGCAGATTATTGGACGAATAAAGCAGTGTTTATTCAGAAGTCGTGAGTATTGTTTCTCGTTCCTCTTTCCTTCTTTTTTTTTATTTTTCAAGCCCGGAGACGCGTAACTTATATATATATATATATATATATATATATATATATATATATATATATATATACATTTTTTTTCTTTTCTTTATATTTTTAAATAGGTAAATATCTATTTTTCCGATTTCTGTAAGATTTGACTGAATGTATAATGCTCTCCTTTCTGCTCTAGTTTAAACTAATTGCAGATTACTCTATTTGTCTAAAATAACTATTATTATAATTTATGATTATTACATATGAATTTGTGATATTATTATAATCTTATTATGGTTTTCTTTTCAGATTTGTCAGTTCACTTACTCAACGGCTGCATTGATGTCCGGAATGGTAGAATAGGCATCATAAATAAATAAATATATTATAATCATATAAGTATGTAACAGTACTGTTTGAAAATAATAAAATTATTTCACATTTTTTTTTAAAGTCCTCTGAAATACCTGCAAGTCCCATCTAATCTTATAAAATTAAAACCAAATGTTAAACACTAGTGAATGAATTATAAAATATATTGATGCTTATTGACTTCTGTTTATTATAAATTGTTTCCTTGATATTTTCCGTCATTTATGTTCCAACTATCTTGAAGCATTATTGCATGTTTATTATGTTATTAAATATAAAAAATTAATATGTATGTATATGAATATTGAAATGTGTAAGTAATAAATTAAATGAATGTGGTAGATATGGTAAAAATTTTATTTTCAGTTAACATAAAAGAACAAAAAATGTAAATATTGTTGTCCAAATCCGATACCTAGACGAGTCTTGGTCTTGCTAACTCAGTCTTGGTCATGGTCTTGGTCTTGCGCAAGAGTCTCGCAACATTCTTGCAGTTACTTATTGGCTTATTACTGAAGAGATATTACTGTAATTTTTTAGATAGGAGAAACCTAACTAAGCCCAAATGAAAAATTAGAGGAGTTAAGTGCAAAAGTATATTGGTTATACCAATTATTTACATATAGTAGCTAAGATTTTCAAGTATTAGCAACTATTTTGACATAATTTTTATTCAAAAAATTGATTTTTTTTACCAGTCCTGGTCTTGGTATTGCAACAGTGAGGCGGCCTTGGTCTTGCACTCTGCAAGACCAAGGCCGATGTTGGGCAACACTACCTGTAAATGATAACAGGAAAAATAAATAAAGACAATACATTTTTTTTTCCTACATCCTACAATTGATTCTGTCTCCTGAGTTTAAGCGAGGCCTATGCGAGCATTAAACCAATTTTTGAATATATATATATATATTATTCAAAACATGGTGCTTTGCACCAATGCATGAGGTTATGCATCTACACACGATAAAAAAGAAATATCTTAGCTAATTAATAGAATAATTTTTTATTAGTATATATATAATATAATACAATAGAGAGAAGTAAATTAAAACATCTAATCTTTAAATGTTAGAAGTATTAATTAATCAATGGACTAAAGTTGGTTGAGTTAGAAAATCAAATTCCACGATGAATTTCAATGAACTTCAGTCTCTAATATTTTAGCGAGTTGTACTCATCATGATGTTCTTACAAACGACACTTTCTTCAGAGCAGAAAGTATACAAGTACTACAATGATCAAGTTTTTATTATTGTCGAATATAGTGAATTTAAAGGAGAATTGAATATTATTTACTGCTTGATTGAATATCAATTAAAACAGTAAAAATATTTTTCCTCTGATGAATTTCTGGCAACAGCCATAACAAAAAATTGTATAATGAAATATTTCAGGACTAACATAAACGTCGTATGTCTAAGGCCGGTACTGGTAATAAAACATAAATTTGTTATAAGATATATAGATATATATACTGGCTTAGGTATCGTTTAAACTCAGGAGACGGAATCAACTGTAGGATGGAGGGAAAAAAAAAACACATTGTCTTTATTTATTTTTCCTCTTACCATTTCATTTCTCGTTATAATGTCAAAAGTTCATTTAGTAGTAACACATGAAGCTCGAAAATCACGAAATAAATATGTGAACTATTCGAGGAACGAAAAATTGCAATCAACTTAAATGTATCAAGAATCTGTTGTATATTTTTAACAAGTATTAAGTATGAGCTGCGTCAACCGCATACTTCATACTTCCTGTGCATTAAATTACTAATTACTATTCTACTGAATGGATCTTTGCTTTGTGTGCGAAAGTCGCTTTTACCATTCCTCGGAACAAATGAAAGGCCAGCAATGAAAGATCAATTTTCCTTATTTCTTGAAAAATGCCATTGATGTTTATGAATCTTCCATATTTCTCTATGCGGAAATCGAGCTAAACTAATATTTTCAGTGTTCTTAAATTTCACCTAACCCGCCAAGAATTAGTGCAGATTTTTATTCAACGAAGGAGGTAAGAGGTTTCGAAACCTATGCAAAATATTCAAGAATTTGCACGTTAGGTAAGAAGAGGTAAACAACCAAACTGTTCATCAGGCGAAATATTTACTGAATAATCTCTTTCAATAGATCATTTTCATAAAAAAAAAAATTTAAAAATGCCCATGCTACTTATGACGTATTTTGAAAATATTAAATTTGCCTAGTTTGATGAACCTATTAAGATATTTTATCATATTATACGCGAATCATATAATAATAGTGCCAAAGCTTATATAAGCTATTTCACAAGTTAGCCTATTATGAAAATTTAAACAATTTTTTTTGGTAAGAGCAGCAATTGACCAAGAATATTTGTATGGTTGCTAATCCTGAAGCATCTCTATTATTATAAAATTTTGCAAAAATGTCTCAGGTTCTTATGACCTTTGTCCTACCTTTCTAGATTTTTTTAGTTTTTTTGATTGAACCGATCACGATGCTATGTTAGATTCTTCTGGTAAGTATAAATTAACCTAAATCTAAAGCAAGATTGGAGGGTGTAAATACCAAAATGATTGGCAATATTTTATGCCTCTGAGCTAAATTTTTTCATTTTTTTTTTCTATTTTGAAAAATTGTACACGCCTCATTCCGAGAAATCGCCAGAATTTTTTTTCTTTAGTACTAAATTACGAAATTTTCCACATTCCCCATGCAAACCTTCTGCCACTTATAAGAAATAAATTGCTAAATTGTTCCCTGACTACAATTTGATAATGATTTTTTTAGGTAATTTAGTAACTTTTCAAATAATTATGGATGCTATCAAACATAGATTATGTTTTATTTAGAGTTATGTGCAAATATTTTTTTCCTCTTGCGAACTTTTTCCTGAAATTTCTGGGAAATGTGCCATTTTTTTTCTCCCATCTCAAATAGAAGATAATCTTCAGTCTTCTTTATTTTAAATATAAATTTCAGGACTTCAAACATCACAAAGTTTGTCACATATAAATGTCTATGACAGCGAAGTTTGTCATGAAAAAAGTTTTCTGAGAGAAAAATAATATTGTAAACTCACTTTTAAGCACCTACTCCTTTCCCAACCCGATTGATCCCGAAATGTAGATAAGAGAACTTTTTAAGTTCCCCCAAAAATTATTTCGTTTACTTATGTAATTTTATTTTGCCATCTATGTTTTATATATATATATGTTTTTTTTTTCTTCCAAAATTTTAATTTTGATGAGATTTGTAAATATTTAATTTAATATATGGCCAGACAGGCATTTTTTCTGTATCTATAATTCGTCCTAAAGGGACAACAGTCCCAGGATAAAAAAAAAAAATATTTTGATTTAATTTCACTTTATATGAAGAACATTTGAAAAATCATTATTTTTCAACCTTGAAGTGAAAGGCAGCACTCGTTGGAACGCTTACATAATAATAAAAAATTATTTTAATTTTTTTTTATAAATAAAAAATGTATTTACACAACTATATTTATTATAATAATAAATCATGGAAAAACAAGAAATAAAACCTTTGCAAAAGTTAATTGTAGTCATTTTTGCTGATAATACTCGTTCTTTTAGGTGACAGAATAGAAATTCACATAATTTTTTCACACTACTTAAAGCGAATATCATGTTGTCGTCGAACAAACTTCAACTTAATTAATGTGGACTAAAAGATTATTGAACTAGGCAGTTTGTCTAAAAATTGGATATCTGTAGTTGGACGATGATAAAAAAAGAATAATTTATGATTTTTAAAAAAATAGAACTTAGCTTAGCCCCTGAAAAGTCCGCTTTAATTGGTTTTAACAATGTCTTCTATGTTCATTTGAAGTAAATTTTGTCTAGTTTACAGTGAAGAATTGTTAATTGCTTAAATTAAATATTTATTCAGTTATCTGTTCCTATTCAACAAAAACATGTCTTACTTAAGAAAACACAAAACTTTAATTTTCTTGATACTTTCCTGCTGACAATTGGCCCATTATTGTATAAAGCCGCAAGACTAACTTAAACTAAACTTCAACTTAATTCAAAAATCCTTTGCGAAGTTTACTTCCCGAGTATAGCGAAGATTCGCTTTGTGAGTACACGTCTTAACAAGCATTGTGAAAAGTTTTACAGTACCAATTATTTATTTTTTTTAGTGTAAATAGATGTGTATCGTAATTATATTTTTTCAGGACATCTTCTACATTTTTTTGAGTTATAGATTTAACCTTACGATGTTCAAGTTTCCTAATGAAATTTTTATAAGTTAGTAAAAAGGTGAAATGATATGTTACGATTCAATTTATATCATTGACACAAAACAATATGAAACACCTGCACACATTTCACATATAAAACATTCAAATTCACATGTAACATTGAAGCTTTCACCGGATGGAATGTATTTCCCCAACATTGAATATAGATCTACCTCGAGGGATATGACAATTAATTAACATCCTATTAGCTACAGTCATTCCACTCGTTGTGAATAATTACCATTCTCATCTATTGGGTAATTGGGACATCAATAAGACATTGAGGATAGTTCTTATAAACCAAAAAATTAGTACGACCATTAGTTAGGAAGTGAGAGCCGACGAAGATGGGCTACCAGGATCCTTTAAGAGACTCAGATGTAATCGACGGCCTCAATATCAGATTCCTCAAGTTCTTCGGGATGTGGAAGGCCCTCAATGACTATAAAACAACGGGAAAGAAGAGTATAGTAATAAAGATGCACATACTTGTATCTCTTATCATATCCATTCCATATTTAGTCTTTCAAGTGAAAAGCTTCTTCACCATACAGTACGACATCCAGAAGATCACGTTCGTCAATATGTATCCTATGCCTGCTTTGCAGATGTGCTCCAGGATGGTCCTGTTTTGGTTTCACATGGACAGGTTTTACCGACTGTACGATATGATGAAAAAAGATTTTATTAAAATACCTGAAAATATGAGAGATCGTGTGAGGGATTTGTTTAATAAGACCAATAGGACTTGCAATCTGATTTGTCTGATAATATTTATTTGGAATGCTGGTATTGAGATAATATATATATTTTTTCCAAAAGTTTCCGTAGATTATATCCAGCATCACACCGGTAGTATGGCTGCGGTGAAAACGGGCAAAAATAAAATATTGGGTGGTTGGTACCCAGTACCTATGGGAGAGTCCCCTTACTACGAAATAATATATGCTTATGAAGCATTCTGTACGGTGTGGACAGCAACACTTCTCAATGTGTATTTCTGTATGTTTTATCAAGTATTGATGTGTCTTTATGCACAATTTATTGTTCTTGGTGCTCGTTTATCATGTTTGACACGTGATTATTCAGATGTTGGCTTCAGTAGAGAGCATAAAAGTAGTATTATAAATATCAGTATCTATGAGGAACTATATGAAACTCTTCAAGATCATCAAAAACTCATAAGGTGGCTGTTTTTTTATTATATTCTTAAACTTATATTTGAATGAATAATATTTTAATATACTTTTTAAATTTTCACTTAGGTACACTAATGAACTAAGAAAGTTTTACAACCCATTGGTAACTGCAATTCTTGGGATAGGTATTCTCCTATTGCTGTTAGGAGCTGTCCAAATTTTAGTAGTGAGTTATTCAAATTTTAATTTAATATAAATAAAATATTCGTTTTTTTCAAAATAAATTACTGACCATATATTATTTCTTAAGGGGAAAACCAGTGATACAAGCTTTTTAATACAACTCTTCCAAATTTTTTCATTCCAATTAATTGAAGTGTCTTCGCTCTGTTTTGGATCCTCTCGCATTGAGGCGGCGGTAAGTAACATGTAATGAAATGTAGATATTTTGAACTTGAAATCAGTCAATGGTTAAAATCATTATAAAATATACTGAAAAATATTGAACAGATAAGTATAAAATACCATTACTTTACTTAAAATTCAGAACGTAAAATTAAATAAGAGTTTAATCTAAGAAATAAAATATAAGAGATGAGATAAAATAAAATATGAATGGTAGTAGCCACTAGCTGATCAAGGATTTGATTTTAGGGGGTTTCATCCCGAAAGATTTTTTTTCACTTATATACAACAAAAATTAATTTAAAAGAAAAAATAAAGAAATTAACTGCCTATATGAAATGGTGTTTAAATGACTCTTTAAATCCTATTAACTGTAATTACACGAACAATAATACTTTAAGAGATATTTTTTTCCATAAAACATGGTTATATTTTACCATTTTTGGGACGGGGCTTCATCCCGAAAGCCCTTCTCTGTCCCCGTAAATCCGCCTGTGGTAGTAGCCATATAACGGGACGGAATATAAACTTACAGTAAATACATTGAGGAACGCATCCAACTCTTACACCAAGTTCTAATATTCGAAGACGTCAACTTAACCACCCGCCAATATGTGGTAAATTCCGTTCCCTAAGAAACGATAAGTCCGTGTGTATTAATTCTTAAAGTTCTTTTAGGCTTTTCACAAACTATAAGAAACTCAATTATCTAACTTAAGTGACAGCGCCATTGGCTGAAAGCGAATTTTTTTTTTTAATTTCTCTTACCATCAGATGGAAAACAATAACATCCATTTAGGTAATTTTTTTTACCATATTTTATGAAATGTCTAAAGAAACTTTTAATTGGTCACGTGTCATATTTTTATTTTTGGAAATAATTATCCATTTGATATTTTAGGCATGTCATGAAACACTTAATCTTGAAAAATCTAAAACTAAACACACCAATAATAATTTGTATTCTCTCTCTCTCTCTCTCTCTCTCTCTCTCTCCCTCTCTCTCTCTCTCACTCTCTCTCTCTCACTCTCTCTCTCTCTCTCTCTCTCTCTCTCTCTCTCTCTCTCTCTCTCTCTCTCTCTCTCTCTCTCTCTCTCTCTCTCTCTCTCTCTCTCTCTCACTCTCTCTCTCTCTCACTCTCTCTCTCTCTCTCTCTCTATATATATATATATATATATATATTAGCAAACCATGTAAACCATTGTTAGAAAATTATAAACCGACATGCAATACATAAAATGAAAACAACCATAAAAAAGATATATTTAGATTTTTTATAATTGATTTGGATCTACCAAACCTTTCAGTAATCGAGTGATTAATTAAAATTAGAAACTTTTTCTCGCATTTCAGTTATTTTAACTTCCGAAGTTTCACAGTTTTTTCATTATGCAATTCACTTCTTTACATTAATGTTGGGTATCCCCTTAATTTTACAATAATATTCATTTGCAATTAATCGCTGATACGTTCAATACTCAATTTACAACACTTAATTCCACCTATGCCTAGTGAAGCTGTTGGAGTGAATACTGTGCTTAAAGAATGCTTCGATACCACTTCGGCATACTATTAGTGAAAGGAGGGGGATTAATTTCAGAAACTCCTTTTTTCGTTTAAAAATACAATACCTAAAGTATTAATAAAAGTTTTAATATAAAGACGATAAAAAACCAAATAACTGCGATGAATGATTTTTTTTTAAGTGAAAACTTCTTTAAGCGTGTTTTGCACTTTGTTGTAGAGAGTGAATTATATTGAGCCGTCAGATTTCCGATGTGAAACGCTCGGGTAAAGTCTGTTTGAGTCGACTAATTGAAGTGTTTTTGCATATGAATTGAAATAACTCAGAATCTAAAAATCGGGCCGGCATACTTTGAGCAAGAAAATTGTTCAACATTTTATACTCGCTGCAATGTGCTGTTATTCCAAATTGTATCCTAACGCGACACCATGTTAGGAAGGTGAAAAGGAAAAAAAAAACAGTGTAAAACCAACTGATAAAAAGTTGTTTTGAAATTATGGATTAGAATATCTCAGAACGCGACGCCATGTTAGAGAGACGAAAAAAAAAATAGTGTCGAAAACTAAATGACAACAAATTTTATGGAAGATATGGATTAAAATATCTCAGAAATTAATAATCGGATCTACATACTGTAAGCGATGTAAATTTCCAGCATTTCACCCTCTTTATAATGAACTATTATTTATAATTTTATTCCAAATTGTTTCTTAACGCGACGCCGTATTAGGGAGGTGAAAAGAAAAAAAAGCAGTGTTGAAAACCAAATGATAAAAAGTTTTATTGAAGTTATGGATTAAAATATCTCAGAAAATCAAAATCAAAATTGCATAGTGCAAGTGAGAGAAATTTTCAGCATTCCACCCTCTTTATAATGAGCTATTATGTATAATTTATATTTTATATTATTAATTTCGCCTTACTGATGTTTTAAATTCTATCGTGTGTTCTAAAACACACACTTAAGTTTTTGTTTTTCTCATGACTCTTTCTCTAGTCTGTTTCGTCTTTATTTTGGCTCCAATGTGATGAGGGGGGGGGGGCTCACCTGTATATTGATTTTATTTCCGATTTTTTCCCCAAGGCGAGAATGTGAGTGTATTAAATTCTATGTTCGTAAAATATTTTAAAGAATGATAAAATGTTATTATTCTTTTGTTTATAAGAACTACACTGAGATAGAGTGCCTCTTTCCAACCTTTAGAAGACAATCAACCTTTATCAAATCATTAATAATCATGTTCTTTGTTTGCATACAACCTTCTTCAATTCAAGTCTTCAGTCCATTCATTTACCACAAAATCTCGACCTTCTGATTATTTACATCCCAACTCAGATCCGCCTCATACCTAAACCCCATTTGTGCCACTCCATCCATTTCTGGAATTCACTCCCTATAAAAATCCGCCATACCCCTCCGTATCCGAATTCAAATCCCTCCTGTTCCAATTTCTGTTCCGAAAACAGTTAGATATATGTTAACTATTGATATTATATATGCATTTCATGTCATTTATCATCAGATGATAATGGTGCTCTTTGGTAGAGATATTACATGATTTTCCCACTCTCGATGCCACTCAATGCATGTTTTTTTTTTAATTACTGATATTTTTCTTAGGTACGATTCTCCGTCACTAGACTAGGACACACCATAATTATGAATAACCACTCTCATTAAGTACTCCCAATTCCGATTATCCTCTTAAAATGCACTCTGTGCTGTACAAGAGGTCATGGTTAATCCTCGTACTACCAGTCTGTTCTCAACACCATACGGGGATTAAGAAAACGTAAAAAGATACAATTAAACTCTTACATATATTTACTATAATTAATGATCATGCTCTTCTTAGGATATAGTTACATATTATCCTACATTTTTTATAATGAGGCATTTAATATTGGCAAGCTTTCTTTTTTCTTAGTAGGAACTCATTTATTTGTTTTTCTTTACTTTCTTCTTTTCGTGAAGTATTTATGTTGTTTTACCATTTAACTTATTTTACCGTTTTTCAAGAGCAATGTATAAATTATGTTTCCAATTTTTGTTTTGTTCTGTTCTCCTTTATTTCATATACATTCTCTGATATCTTATTTGCTCAATACCCTTGTAGATTGAAAATTTATCTCGACATAAATTTGTGTATCTTAGAAATAAAGACCACATCTATTTCATTACATTTGTTTATTCATTTATTTTTTTTCTTTTAGAGCTCGGACCTGCACTTCGCCATTTACTGCAGCGAGTGGTACACTGCTGACGCAAAGTTCAGGAAGGCGGCCCAGATGCTGATGATCAGATCAAGAAGGAGTTCCACCCTCACCGCTATCTCGATGTACCCAATCAATTTGGAAACACTCAGCGCCGTAAGTAACAAAAGAAAATAAATAAATAGATATTGTGAAGGATATACACAATATACCCTTTCAAATATTAATTAAAACAGTAAAACAGAACGAAATAGAAAAATAGCTTTATTCTAGGACGAAGTCCTTTAAAAATAACAGAACAACACTGAAAACAAGAAATTTTATCTGTTGTGACGTGTTAAATTCAGATAAAACTGTAACGAGATAACTAGTGATCTTCATTATAACATTACAATAAAAAATAATATTAACATTATCGAAATTTACCAACAATTTCAAACCCTCATTAGCCCCTTTATAAGTCCTATGCAGTACAAGGAATTTCACATCAACCAGTTCTCCAATCATTCATGGGATAATATAACTCGAAATAATTCGGGATTTCGTACTGCCAGTATATCTTAACATCTTGAATTAACCCGAATTAATAAATGATCTGAAAACAACCATACACCTATTTCTTGTTACTCACAAACAAAAATATTAATATTTTTATGAATAACACGATATAGTCCGTGGCACAGATCACTTTTTATCGAATTATTAACATCCGCCTGAAATTTCATAAATAGTCCCATCCCCCCCAAATTCCTGGGAAAAAAAATTGTGGAGGAAAAGAAATTTTATTTGCGAATAACTCAAAAATTATGCATTTTTTTTCGTGATTGTACCCATAATAATTAGAAAGATTGATAAATTATCTACAAAACAAAAAAAAAAAAGTCAAAATCTGACATTTATATACAAAAATACAATCCATTAGTTTTGGTATACTTAATAATGTCTTCCTGTTTAAAGATACTGCATTTAGGAGTAGAAAAGTCTACTATTTTTTTTTTCTGTCTTTTATATTAACTTTATTATTTTTTAAAGACATTTGGTTGTTCTTACATTTTTTAATTTTTAATAATTTAGAATATCTTATGATCGGGGCATTATTTTTTCTTTATTACTTTTATTATCTTTCCAGTCAGCGTTTAAAAATAGGTCCTAGCAAAGCAATTTGTATAAATATTTTGGTCTACTATGTTAAATGGAATATTGAAATCGACTAAGGAAAATATATTAATTCCTTCCTTACATAATACATAGGAACCACTTATTTCCATATTGTTTTGCTATTTTTCACTGAACAAAATTTTCTGCGAATTTTTCGCATTGGCCAACTAGTTATTTATTATTTGTATTTCATATGATTAATCTCCTCTTGTTGATGTTTCACTTCTATCGTGTGGTCTAATGCACACAACATTGTGTTTTTTCATTATTTTTTTTTTTTACTGGCGCGATTGAGGATTTCTGGTGCATAGATCTTCTCAGGATAATCTTCATGTAAATCAGTTTAGCTTAGAGGTCAAAATCATCAAAATTGGTTTTATATTTACCAAAAATATAAATAAATAGAGTAATAGCGAAACAAAAAAATTGTTAAAATATATTTTTTAAGAGGCTGAGATATTTATTTTTTAGTAATCATTCGAGCTTATAGTTTCAGGGTAAATATGTTGTAGGGTATAATTGTAGAAGGTTGAGGAAATAGGCAGAGTGGAAGAGTGGTCTATTTTATTTTCAAACAAAAGTTTGATTTGAAATTTCTATAGTTTTATCGATCATTAACAATTAACAAGTTAAACTTTGACATTGTTTTAATTAATATCTAATTTCATGTTTTTCAGATTGTACAGTTCACGTACTCGGCTGCTGCTTTGATGTCGGGGATGGTCAACTAAAAACTGAGTTCCTCTATTTGATAAAACAGTTCTGTTCCAGAAATCTGACACATAATGTATCTTGTCTATTGAAAAATAAAATTATACAAATATTTTCTGAACATTTTAAAAGTTTAATTGCATCCAATTTCATTTTATTCAAATTTAATGTAAAACCAACTGATGCCTGTAAATGAAGCAAGTGACAAAAATGAATATAGTGTAAATAATAAAAGTTCTTATTTATTACTTAACTTTATTTTAATGTTTAACAATTTACAAGCCTGAAATATTCTGTCTTCAAAATTCAAATCCAAATATTGAGTGTGAATCAAGTTGATTCAATCAACATAGGGTTTTTTTTTTTACATACAACTTGTCTTTTGTTAAATTCAACACTCAATCTTTGTTTATTTATTAAAATCTATTATCAACTCCTACTATTTCGACTTTTATAGGGTAACATTGACCTCTTATTCACCATGACGTATAAAATGATTTGTATTAGCCACCATTGCAATATAATAATATGTTTTAACGTTCCTAATATTACTTTTAGAGCTTTTGTTCTCTTGAATCCTTCTTTCAAAAAAAAAAAAAAAAAAAAAAATACACTTCACAGTAAAATAGGAAAAGTTATTTGCTCCAAAAAATAGGCCTCCTCTCTCCACCATGTTGGCTTAAAATATTTTTTATGAACGTGAGTAATAAATAAGAAAAAATAAAATAAAAATGCTTGGGCTAGCCAGGCAACATTATATTTGAATAAAATGCTCTCTCATCCGAAAATTGTTATTAAACTCGAAATGTTTACTCCTTGTTCTTCTTTCTATTCGTTCAACATGAGATCTCAGCCCACAAATCATTTATTTTTTCTCATAGAATTTTTTCTCTACCTTGTTTTGGAATTTCCTGCCAACCTCCATATCCAAATCTTTATTTTCCCCCGAGAAACCATAATTTATTTTTTCAACTCTATAGTAATTAATGTTCTGAATATATCTAAATGTAATATTTTCGTATTTTAGAGCTGTTAGCCTCATTTTACTGTTAAATTAAACATATCTTTATATGATCCATATTGCTTAATTGTTCAAATATGGGAACTCACTCATATGTATTTGTCTATAATTTTATAAGTCCCCTAGTGCTTTTCTGTATTTTAATTCTACGGTTAGATAACTATGTAAATTTATTCATTCTTAATTTATTTCTAATGCCAGAGAAATGTTTCATTGTTCATTGCAGTTATTCTTAAGGGGCTAAATGACCTAGAATAAAATTTACTGTTTTCACTTACTATATAATTGGTTTTACAATAATGAAATAAAAACATATTTTCCTATGAGATGAAGAAATTATGTGAAATTCAATGAAATCAGGAGCTGTGGACAGGATCCCTTTTACATGAATGAATTAAATAAAATTGAGGATATTTTATTTAATTTATAAAAAAATCAAATTTAAAAAATATAATTTATAAACATTATGAAACCGAAAAAATAAAAATAGAAAATAATAACAAAAAAATGCATGGTTAAACAAGGCGATATTAAATTTAATCTAGTATCTCGTCCGAACATTTTTACTGTACAGTCTATCTTTCAAGAATGAAACCATAGCATTATTTTTCTGTGAGATAAATTAAAACTTCAAATAGAAAAACTTTATTTTTCATTTGTGCAATTTAATGGAATTTTAATGAATTTTGTTTATAATAAAGAACTCGCCGACACACGGCCCTATATTCCGAGCAGTAATGTGCTTACACCATCAGTGGGCTTTTCCAAACGCCGGTCTCTTTGAAGTTGAGAAAACATAAAAACCCTAGCTGGCTGGTAGGAACCATATCTCTCCAAAAGTGAGTCAGTAGTTGGAGGCAAATGCCATGTCGACTTCTGTATTGTATTGTTCTGAATTATTTCTTTAACCCAGGTGGAAACCAGGGATGAAATTTTATTCTCTTAAATGAACACCATTTTCATTGATAGATTAATACATATTGTTCTAACTCTTCTTAACGATTCCAAATAGTTTTTTTTGTAACTGCTGAATCTTTAATTTTACCTGTTAGATAGAATAGAAAAAACAAAACAAAAAAACAACAGCCATAAATCGACTATTCGCCAATTTTGGTAACATTCCCGTCGAAGAGATTTTTAAAACGATCAGCCTGCCTGGATATGATATTTTTTTTATCTAACGTGGGAACCTCCTTGTCAATGGGCCACTAATTTCTTTTTGGGTGACACTATATCGAAAAATATTGGACAATTCGTCCTATTCTAATATTCGTCCCATGCGTACGTTTTAATGTGCCCTAGGAGCAGGGGAAAATGATGTTGTTTAATTTCAAACAAAATTTATATTATTTATGAAGGAAGGAGATGGTCCGGGGTGGCGGTCATAAAAAGGCTAAATAGTGGAAAAACGTTTTTATTAAAAACCTGCATTTTATGTGAGTATTCGGTCTTGTCAATAATAACCGTGACATTTCCCTTGTCAGCCTTAGTAATAATGAAGTGGTCGTTTGTTTTGAGGAAAGAGCGAGTAGAGGATAAATCTTTAAATAAAAAACAGGGGGAGGGGGTTGTGGGGACGAACGGGAGGTAGGGTGTTGGAGGTGGTTGGAAATCATGTTACTGATCCGAATGCTGGATAATTCTCTCCTCTTCGTTAACTCCAATTATGCTAGGGATGAGATGGGAGCATTTGGAAGAGGGCGAAGAAAAATTGGAGCCCAAACTTATAATACTGACAACCTGAGGGGGTATATTCGTGGAGGAAATATTGTTGAGCCATTTTTCACTGCAGGCTTTTAATAAAATAATTTTTCCACTATTTCGCCTTTTTATGACCGCCACCCCGGACCAACTCCTTCCTTTATAAATAATATAAATTTTGTTTGAAATTAAATAACATCATTTTCGCCTGCTCCTATGGCACATTAAAACGTACGCATGGGACGAATATTAGAATAGGACGAATTGTCCAATATTTTTCGATATAGTGTCACCCAAAAAGAAATTGGTTACAATTGGTGGCCCATTGACTAGGAGGTTCCCACGTTAGATAAAAAAAATGTCATATCCAGTCAGGCTGATCGTTTTAAAAATCTCTTCGACTGGAATGGGACCACAATTGGAGAATAGTCTATTTATGGCTGTTGTTGTTTTTTTTTTTATTTTATCTAATAGTTAAAATTATAGCTTTCAGCGGTTACAAAAAAACTATTTGGAATCGTTAAGAAGAGTTAGAACAATATGTATTAATCTATCAATGAAAATGATGTTCATTTAAGAGAATAAAATATCATCCCTGGTTTCCACCTAGGTTAAAGAAATAATTCAGAACATTATAATACAAAAGTCGACATGGCATTTGCCCCCAACTACTGACTCACTTTCGACTGTTCTACATATCATGGGTGATAAATATTGAGGACGCAGTTTTTTTTTTAATTTTTTTAAAAATGACTGCGGCTTTTTTTTGCTGTTGCATCTCTTCTTTTCATCATTTCATCATCTCTTCCTTTATTTCACTGGTCAGCTAAGGAGCAGTGTGACGGCATAAGGTTTTCTGTGTCATAAATTAAAAAAATCAGTTGCGCGTAAGACACAACTTTCACTTACCGCTCTACATTGAATAGAAATTATTTTCTGATTATGTTGGGCTATTATAAAATCTTTAAAAGAGCATTTTAAATGGAGCTAAATCTTAAAGCTTACAGGTAACAAATGATTAAGCCCATAAAAATAAAAAGAGATGTATTTATTATATCGACGGTAGGCATTAAAAATCTAGTCACTCCATGTGTTTTTATAAACCAAATAACTTCAGTCACTGAGCTATGTGACTACCTTCAATTTTAACATTTTTGAGTATTGTCATTTTAGTGATATTTGTTGGGAAAGTTATATCAATACAGACAGTCATCAGTAAGCAGATTCCAGAATAGGTGATTACAATATTGAAATATAGAACTGTGAATAAAGATATAAATCTTGCCACTCGAAACATCACTAAAATTAATAATAAAGAATGTTGAAATCAGAGTTGGTCATTCCAGAGGTACCCATCCCACCCCTAAGTCGGACTGGGAATGTATGAACTGCATGAAAAAAAAAAAAATACAAATCCTTTTACAAAGTTAAGTCCAAAAATTTACATTTTTGATTTAAAAAAAACAACAACTCATATTTATGAGTTTATGAGTGGACGCTAAAAACGAATATTAATCTTTTTTTATTCAAAACTGTACTTAGCGTATTAGGTTTTTTTTTGTAATTTATCATACATAAGAATTCATTTAATACTTTACTAAAATTAGCAAAAAATAAAACTAATCGGTTGATATTATAATAACTTTTATTAACTGGTATTAATATTTTTATTGAGGTATGATAGATTTTGCCACACTTAAGGGTACTGAGTATTAAAGCTGTTAGCCACATTCATACCATATTTACAATATAATAAAATAAAAAGAATGAAATACATAAACATATATATATATATATATATATATATATATATATATATATATATATATATATATAATATAATATGGGTGATAAATATTCAGGACGCAGTCTTTTTTAAATTTTTTTTTATTTTTGCCAACGTTTCAACCCAAACATGTGGGTCATCTTCAGGGCTGAAAATGTTTTTTTTTAAATTACAATCAGAGATAAAATAGTATACGACCGCTAATTATAAATAATAAACTATAGTGATTGATGGCACATGAATCTTAACTAATATTGTAATACACATATTAAAATAGTTATTCAAACTAAAAATAAAAAATAATGTATATAATCCATTTATATAAATTTGTAATATTTTCTCTTACTAAAAGTGGTTTGAGCACTGAGGTTTTTCATGTACTGACACATGTTTGGTAGGTATGTAAAAAGGTCAGGGGGGAGGGAGGATTTCCCTCTTGTCCTTTTTTTTTTTTTTTTTTTAGATAGCAAAAGATAAGTAAACAAGGTTAGAGGGGAAGGGAGGGTAACATA